TCTCCCTGAGCATTTCGCAGTCACTATCACCATCTGGTCAGGTGATCAGTAATATATTTGTTTCATTTAAGATTTTTACTTCATTTGATTAAATCCTTTCTTTCACATTTAGTGCCACTCCCCCACCAGCACGACCTGTTCTGTCCTTCCAAAATATTTTGTACCCTGGTATTACTGTGTCCTATTGATTATCCTTATTCCACCAAGTTTCTGTGATGCCTATTATATCAATATGCTCATTTAATACAAGACACGCTAGTTCACCCATCTTATTATTTAGACTTCTAGCATTTGTATATAAGCACTTTAAAGACTAGTCACTTTTTAGCAGTCTGCCATTACATTATGTAATTGAATGGGACTTCATTTCATTTGACAGTTTCTCATCAGATCCTACCTGTATTTTATCATCTTCATCCTCTCCTCCTTACTAAGACATAGAGAATCTCCATTAATAGATCCTTCCTTAACAGATGTCTCTGTCCAAACCACGTTCTCCTCTGCACCTGTCGGCTTTCCTCCAACCCTTAGTTTAAAAACTGCTCTATGACCTTTTTAATTGTAAGTGCCAGCAATCTGGTTCCATTTTGGTTTAGGTGGAGCCCATCCTTCCTGTATGGGCTCCTCCTTTCCCAAAGGTTTCTCCAATTCCTAATAAATCTAAACCCCTCCTCCCTACAGTTCTGCCATTCTAACTGGCCCTGCACGTGGAACTGGAAGCATTTCAGAGAATGCTACCATAGAGGTCCTGGACTTCAATCTCTTACCTAGCAGCCTAAATACCCTGTGGGCATGTCATCTGGTGAATCAAAGAAATTTAAGAAATAAATATGGAACTGTACTATTTCAGTTTTACAGGTGCTTCTGTACAAATCTCATTGAAGTCAGCCATATTGTGACTAGTCTCCTTGATAGGGTGAATGAATCATTGTCTCATTGTGTCTGTTAGGGATTGGTCAATGAGATCAGATAAGTGCAAACCCCTTCTTTCCCACTTCCCCCACCCACCCCTCAAATAAATCATTCATCCACAACATAAAGCTAAGCTAAACCAAACCATTATACAGAGCTGAAAAAATTTAGCTTTGTTTCTCTCACCTATTTTACATTTTTGTAGACCAGTGCACTTCCATATTTTTGAGAGGACCACTATCGAAGGTATCCAAGCCACCCAAAATTGGGTTTAGTGTACCAGGCCTGACCCAAAACAAGCATTAAATAGAAATCACACCAAAAACACTGCTCCTGTGAGTTTTCCAGCTTGATTTTGTAGGTTCAAGAGGTCCAGAGAATTTGGATAAGCACCCAAAAGTCCAGTTGCTTATCTAAAAAAACCTGATCCTCTAACTCTTTTTGAAGTTCACTCATGAATTCTACATACCTTTTCTGTTCACCAAGAACATTAAATTGCTCTGATGTCACTGCCCTTGTGTTCTGGCTTGCTAAATAGCCAGAGTAGGGCAAAGAATCAACAGCTAATATCCTACAATTTATCTTGCATAGCATGACCACAAACTAAATGATCTCATCAAGCAGAGGAGCTGGCAACAAGCTCATAACAGCTAAGTAACATAAATATGCATCATATTTGTTGTTTAGAAAAGAGCTCCTTTTAAAAGAGAGGGCACATCTCCCTCAGCTGGCAGCAAACGGAAGCTCAAGACAAGCAATCTCACCAGTCCCAAAACCACAGAAGTGAAGTTAATACATTGTTAATCAGATTGAAAATTATGGCATGTGCCTGTCTTTTCCTGACTACCAGAGAGCAGGAATTCACTCCAAGCCCAAGCAAACACTACAAGTAGAGCTATTACTACATTCTGTGAGCCGTGCCAATCAACTTGAGTGATGAAATGATTTAAAACTCAGCAATAGTTTTTTCTGATATATCCCCGTCATCTTTGAGGATATAACTTTACATTCAACTTTGAAGACTTGCTTTAAGAGCAATTTGACACAAGTGTCATAAGCACAGGAACATTATTTCCCCCCCATAATTAGGTTAAAATTGTTTCAGCTGCTTTTATTTGAAACCTCTGACCATTTTAGTGCCTCTCAGATGCCTCTTTAGCCCCCCTTCACAAAAACTTTCCTTTTAAAAGATGTAGTAGTGTTGTATTCTCCCCTTGACACATGTACATAATTTGCCTTAATGCCAACGGATTTCACATCTCAAGAGAATAGAATGATGAGTTTTATTGCTTAATGGGTTTTTACTATTCTTTTTATAAGCTTCGAAAAGGCAGGGATAATGTTAAAATATCCATTAATGCATAAACACTAAATGCTATGCATAATGGGCCAAATTTGTCCCTGGTAAAATTCTATTAAGAATAATGATGTTGAATTTCAGCCATCATCTTAACCCCTCAAAAGGAAGCCACATTCAGGTCTGAATGTGTATTGTATGGAATTCCCATTGTCAGGTGTCACCAACTTGGAAATGGTAAGTGTTACAACTTTGAAGTTAGATTACAACTTAGTAAGGGCTATTTCAGTAGAACTAAATGCAGACCTTGAACAGGAAGACACCAAAATTATGCTCTATCGTCATTTAGCTTACTCTCAATGTAGAGCATAACACAACCTTCCACAAGTTACAGTTAAATGAATCTTCTCCAGTGCTAGCTACAGTATGCGGTCTCATCTTTAGAAAGACAGCGATCTGCTACCCTTCTGCACAAGTAGCCAAATAAATAGCCAATATCACAACTAGCCTTTTTGTCCGGTGAATTAAGCAGGGAAGCTAAGGATTCAATGGCATGGAAGTGACACTACTCATGTCCCAGAAAGATGGACCTTTCAGCTCAGGGTTGCAACACGTTGACAGACTGACATAGAGACTGTCTTAGTACGGTCACTGCCCATGCTGTACCCATTTGGTTGGGGGGGCGGAGGAGACCCACAGGACTTGACGTTGCTAGGAATGTTAATCTGGCAGTTTTTCAACAACCACTAGATTCACTAAAAATATTATATATACACATATACACACACACGTAACCAGTATAAGAACAGAGGTCAACACTGACTATCGCTCAGTATCACTATGTCAAGGTTCTGACTCAATATAACTTACCATTATCTATTTATCAGGGTTTTAGAGACTTGCACATGACCAACAAAACTGCACTTTGTTTGACTCTGAGAAAAGCCAAGCAACATTTGCTACAGCATTATCATTAGACAAATGCTTAAAAATAACCCTGTGAACCTAATAATGGTTTTAGTCAATCACATGTGAAGTCTGCATGCACTAATGAAGCTTAAGCTCCAGTGAAGTAAATGGGTACCTAGCTTTGATTCTCAAGCCAGCTGTAAAGCGAAAATCCATCACATTAGGAAATCACCATTTTTAAAAAAAAATCAAAATAGCTGTTGTGATGTTACACACTGAGCTCAACAGATCTAGGTTGGATATTAGGAAAATCTATTTCACTAGGAGGGTGGTGAAGCACTGGGAATGGGGAAAAGCCCTGGCTGGGATGATTTAGTTGGGGGTTGGTCCTGCTTTAAGCAGGGGGTTGGACTAGATGACCTCCTGAGGTCTCTTCCAACCCCAATCTTCCATGATTCTATGATCTGAGTTGCTATACATTTACATCAGTAATTTTCAACCATTTTTTTTCCATTTGCAGACCCCAAAACATTTTCCAGTGAAGGTATAGACCTCTTTGGAAATCTAAGGCATAGTCTGCAGACCCCCAGGGCCCTGCAGACCACAGGTTGAAAACCACTGATTTAGATGTTATGTATTATCATGGTACACTTCACATCACTTCAATAAAGGCTGCTTCATCAAACATTCCCATTATTAACTTTTCTTTAGGTGACGTGATAAGGGGCATTCTCTGGAATACACACACACACTTTCCCCCATTTTACTTCCCACCAGTTTCAAAAATAACATCATTCAAAATCATACATATTGTAACAACTTTTTGCAGTAATTGCTGTGCACATGCTAGTCACCTTGTGTTTATAAAACTAAGGGGCACTGTATGCTTTGGTGTTCAGTAACCTCTCATCTGAATATCAGTAATTCAAAGCTAGCCTAGGACTGGTGGTAACTGAACACTATTTCCATCTGAGTGTTGTTCAGTGGCCATTGTGAAATGAGTTAGTTACCTCAATCCAATTCCAAATGGACAGATGTTCCTCACCACAGCAAGATCTAATTGTCATCCCCTATTGACAATGTCCTTTTGCAAAATACTAAGTATGCTGTTTGATAAGTTCCCCAAGAAAAGCCTGAGACATTAGTAGATTAGTAACAGTCATAAATCCTGACAGGTCAAAATTTATTTGGCCTAAAATCTGAAAAGGACAGCAGTGACACATGGGAGAAGTGTGGAATAGGCTTGTAGTATTCGCTGTTAAAATTCTGCCACTAAACTATGAGAGGCATTGGTGTGATTTCTCTGTCTCTGGTAGAGTTTCCTGCTGAACCTAGATACTGCTAAATCACTGTGCCAGAGAATGTTTACCACTGAGACTCAAATATTTCTGAAGATCATAATCATTTAGCAACTTGCACTTTCAGGTGCAAAAAAGTATGTAATAAGTAGTATTTTCCTGGAGGTAGGAAACTCCATTAAACATTGAATACCTTGATATGTTTTAGCTCAAAAGTTATGGGCTTAAAAGAGGAATCACTAGGTGAAATTTTGTGTTTGGAGTTATGCAAGTCAGACTAGATGATCATCCTTTTTTTTTCCTGGACTTAAAAATATTTAAAAAATGAACACTGCTACACTATGAATACTCAGATTTTGTAGATTTATAGAATAATTTCTAAATAACTTTATTTCATCCTTATTTTCTATATTACTTTTCCATAAGAAGCAGCAGCTAGTATTTTAAATTCCCTTGTCTTGCTAATGGACTGCCAATAGATTTCTCTATTTCCTTTCCTTGTTTTTCAGCTTACAAAAAGAACAACCATCGTTTTTGTCACCAAAATAAACAATTATATTTTACAAAAAAAGGAGTACACTTACCATCCAGAAAAGGGTCCCCGTGGCGAATTCTGAATAATGTTCTATAGTAGAGAGTACACTGAAAATTAAACAAATCAGCACCAGTAGAAATCTGTAACAAAAAACGGAAGTGTTTAATGACATGTCAAAGAGATGCTACACTGCAAATACTGATTTATTTAATGTTAGCCATCAAAAAATGCTTCTGTATCATGTAATTTAATCATCCTTTCCTTCTGTTTCAGCTGAAATCAGTATTCTGGACATCCAGAAGTTCCACTTAAGTCCAAGGGAGTTTCAGATTTATAAAAAAAAGCGAACTTTCATTACTTGTGGCTATAAAAAAAAAAAAAGAGGCTGATATGGACTTCAGTTTAATACCTAAAATTCACATCATCAACAACTCCTTCCAAAATAGACTTTTCACACAGTTACAATGGTTTTAAGTGAAATAATCACTATTACTTTTAGTCTGCAATGCAAATCTTTCAAATTGACACATTAATTCTAATGGGCTCAGACACTCTACTAGAGTTAAGGGTTAAATTAATGTCACTGTAAGTAATTATTGAAGTAATGCAGTTAACCACTACAAATACATACAAACCAGCAGAGATGATGTGATATTTCTATAGCCATTGTTCAAGCACGAGAAAAAAATGTCTCTAGAAAATATATGTACCATTCCAAAAACTTGTTAGAGAACCATAAAATATAAAATGGGGAAAGAATGAGAAAGAATGTTGTGCACGTAATACTCGTTACTTCAATAAAAGCAGAATCTTATCACCCATCTCTGCACAAATGGTAACATGCAGAATAGTTGGTAGAAGTGTAACTTAATGTTTCACAGAGAACACTTATGCCTTTACCACAGGTATCACCGGATGAATTCTTACTACACTTCTCACCACCTCTCCATTCCTCCCAGGAAATGCAGGACTGAACTGTACATCTGGTCCTGCATACATCAGAGAAGCCAAGATGTTCTGCTCCTTTCATTTGGGTGGCCCAGAAACATTCATCCACACCTACTGACTCCTTCAGCTGTCAAATCCTTTCATTCTATGACAAAAGTCCTGATCCAAACTCTCACCACAGCTGCCAAAGCCATCCACAAAACCTCAACCCCACATATAACTACCTGTAAACTCTCCCCCCATCCCTCAACCTCTGTGCGTTATGGAACGAATTAGTTCAAAGAGCTTACAAGCTCCATCATGAACCTGGCACAACTAGCCCAATAACTCCAGAGCAAAAAAAGCTTGCAAGCTCTGTTGACTGCACTGTTTAAAATTCACAAAAATCAGCAAATGAAGATAGAAAGGTTCTAACAATATTAACTCATCTGAGTTGTAACCGTGTGTTACACTCCTGATTTTCTTGTCAAAATGAGTACCTTAGTTAGTTATTGTTTGTGTCATTAAATATACAAGATAAATATAGGAAAACAGCAGAATTAATATTGCTCTAGGACCTTTAATGTTTGCATTTCCTACATTTTAGTGATCTTGACTGCAGCCTTGTTTTTTTTACTAAGCCATTTTTGCATTGAGTTGTTCACAAGTGCATAATCAAGTTTCCTGGACCGTGACAGGCTAAATATGTTTTGCCTTATAAAAGCAAAACAATACACTCTCCTTCCTTTTAATAGTTTCTAGAAGGCTTCTCAAGCCAAGAAGTACTAGGCTTATTTTTTCCCTACCGTAGCCAAGTCCACGCTATGGCTTAAGCTGCTCAGCAGGTGGTGCTATTAACAGTTGTGCCAAGCATCTTAGAACTTCGGAGAAGATTACAGGAAGAATACAGTATTAACCAGAATCTGTAAAGTGAAAATCATCATTTAACTGAGATGTAGGAGCTTACAGCTTTAAAAACCCCACCAGCCTCAAATCTCTGTTTCCTGTATTGTCTAATTACTAATGTGCATGTGTTGATCATATTAATTCTTGGTCATATGCTACCGTGACCTTCAAAACCGGTCGCAAGTGTCCCTTTTAATAACATTGTGGGGCTTTAAACAAAATGAAATAAACTGGGAGGGACTTTAGGATTGCCTGTTCTCCAATATTGATTCAGAATTTCAGAGGGGAGGGAAACAGAGCTGTGATTTGTGTTCCAGCAGGACAGATTAATATCCTAGTACGGTTGATTCTCTCATCCACAGCATTCCAATTCAATTGCCACCGGGTCAAGTCCTCGTGTGAATTCTTTGTCCTGACATTTCTTACTTTGAACAAGGAAGAGAGATAAGGAAATACTGCTCTGCAAGTTCCTTAAAAGTTTTAAACTCCATAAATATCTGTTGTCACAGAGGGCTTTTTGGCTAAGTTCAACTGCTGATACTTTCAAGTTGATCAGCTGTGCTCCTATCTAAGCTCACCAACTGTCACAGCAATCTAAATGAATTACTAAAATGCTTTTCAGTGGACACAGGATGAATTGCTGCCCGCATGCCTCCCCAAAATATGAATACAGATCCTAAGAGATGGAATGATTGACACAACATACCAATGAAACAAACATTTAGGCCCAAATTAGTTGCTCACTTAACCCGGTAGAATCCTATTTTCCTAGGATATACATTGGTGTAGAATTTGGCCCTTAAATTTAATGGTTTTCAAAAATGTTGTCCTTAATGTTTTACACTTCAAATGAGGCTCACTTAAAAAATATACTAGATAAAATTCACTATAGTTAGTACATGGGCTATCCAATACTTATGCTTCCTAACAAATTGAGACTTTGGTCACCCTGTGCTAGACTTTTCTCAGGAGTTCAGAACATCATGTAGTACTTTCACTGCTCTTAGAGCTCCTAATGCTGAATGGATCTCAATATCCTTTTCCAACACTGAAGCCCCTCAACCAACAGAACCTTCCAAAAACCAGCAAAATCAAAAGTTCTGAATGAGGAGATGTGCGCTCTCTCTCTTTCTCTCTCTTTTCTGCATCAGAGGTTTTTGAAAAGAATACCATAGTTGCTGTAATGGATCAGAGAAGAGTTTCATCTAATTCAGTATTCACTTCCCCTACTGTGG